TATATATATATATATATATATATATATATATATATATATATATATAATATATATATCCCTTACTGCAAATAATTCTGCATTACTACTGTAATTGCAAACAGTTACTCTTACTGTACATGTTTTTGAGACATTTTATTTTTCAGTCTGTTTTAGCTTTGGAACGAGCCCCAGACTGACTGAGTCCTTCATGAAAACTTCTCTCTGATTCTCCAAACTGAGAATAGTCAACTCCTGACTACTATAAGTAGGTTAACAGTTGATAAGAACCCCACTTAATATGTATGTATATGTAAAGGATAAAGCTGTCATGGTGACAGGGGTAAAGATTTTATTTTATATAGAATACAGTGCAGCAGGTGGATTGTGGTAAGATGACTGCTGATGTTTTTCTGTATTTTTTTTTTAATGCACAGTTTGCTGATGTAGTTCAGCTAAATTGAACACCCACTGGTCACTTTATTAGGTACACTGGTTTGAGATGATAAAAAGGCAACAGTAGTTCCAATAACCTTTTTTTTTTTTTTACAACCCAGAAATGCAGAACACCATCTCTGAATGCACAACACGTCCAGCCTTGAAGGAAGGCAGCAGAAGACCACACAGGGTGCGACCACAACCAGCTAAAAACAGAAAATGATCCTCACAGGCTCACCAGAGTGGGACATAAAGAGCTTGGAAAACCCTTGCCTGGTCTGGTGAGTTGTCTGTAAACCCTGGAGATGGTTGTGCATAAAAATTCCAGAGGATCAGAGCGTCCCGTCTGGCACCACCAACCACGAAGTCCCTCAAATCCCTGTTTTTCATTGATGCCCACTTCAAGTCTTCACGTGTAGATGCCTAAAGGCACGTTGTTGCTGTGTGACTGGCTGATTGGCTTTTTGTGTTAACAACCAATTATTAAGTGTACCTGATGAATATCCCGATTCATGCTCAATATTCCAGGTAGAAAAATCTAACAAAGTTAAATCAGGTCCTCTGGACGGTTTCTGTCAGGAATCAATCAGGATGTTTTAAACCACTGTGGCCATGATTGCCTCAAATGAGCCAGCGGGGGAGAAGACGGACTCCAGAAACCATTGAATCACCATCAAACTGGTTGACCCACTATGTGAAGGAGCTTTTAAGACAGTTTGTTGTGGCTCCTCAGACTGATGAAGTCTTTTGGATGAAAGATGAAACGTTTCAACAAAAAAACGTCCAGAGGGCCTGACTTTGTCAGACGTACCTGATGAAGTGGCCAGTGTGTGTTTATGATTAAAATGTTCGTATTTCTGTGTTGGACATGAAATAAAATCTCTGAGAAACAGAGGGAAAACATAATTTCAGTTTTACAGCAAAATCTCAGCTGTCAAAGCTAGTGATGGATTTCCTTGAAGATTTGTTACTCGACTGAGCAAATTTCTTATTACTGACGTTTTTATCCACATGCCTGTTAACGTGCATGCGGATATTTGAAATTCAGCCTATAATCAGCCGTTGATCACATGGTTTTATTACATTAATCTGAATTGGGTTGTCTAGACATGAGGTTTGGCTGTACAAAATCATTTCAAACACAAAACATTCAAACTATAAGGACTCTAAAAATCAAACATTTTTTAAACTAAGCTAAAAGTTTTGAGACTTTCAACTTTTCGTGGTGCGTTCTCGTGCCGACATCTGCAGTCCACGAGGGGGCTGAGAACATCTGCTGTTGTAATTTTCCTCGTTTCAGAGGTTAAAGTTCACCAATGAGTTAGTAAATTTATCTTGATTCTGCATCAGCCCCGACTGTAGACTGAAGGTGCCCTCACTGAGGCTGGGGTTAATTGTGGGAAGGCCCTTCTTTGTCCTACCGCACAGGGTTTCCCTGAACTTGGAGGTGAGCTTCTCGATGACGCCGTAGGTCTCCACGTAGAAGACGTGGTCCTCCAGAGGGACGCTGGCCATCAGCTGCAGGGACTTCATGTCTGCGCGGTCCACGCCCACAGCGTAGATCTCGACGCCCGAGGCTCGGGCTTCAGCGGACACTTCTTCTACCTGGTCTTGAGGTCTTCCATCTGTCACAATGATGCCCACCTTGGAGATGTTTCTGGAGCGCGGCCGAGCTCCGGACTGCTCGGTGAAGGCTTCGCTCATCGCCGTCTTGATGGCGAGGCCGGTCATGGTGCCAGTTGCCAAAGGGTCAATTCGTGCGATGGATTTTTTCAACTCAAGCTTGTTGAAGTGGTTTTTGAGCAGGAACTCTATCTTCACCGTGCTGGCGTAGTTGACCACAGCCACTCTGGTGGCATCTGGGCCCACGTCGAGGGTGTCGATCATGTTAGCCAGGAATATTTTGACCTTCTCAAACTCTGCGGGGCGCACGCTGCGAGAGCTGTCGATGATGAAGACCAGGTCCAGAGGACGGCTCCTGCACTGAGAGTCTGTCTCTGATGATCAACCAAACCATGGCACAAATAAGTCCATTTAACTAGTTTCTCTTGTATTTTCGCAATAGAAGTTTTGAGATGCACAACACGTGTTCCCATAGGAACAAAACAAAACTGCTGTGCATCTCCGCACGTTTTGTTTTCACTAAAATGATACCGTATGCCAAAGGACATACGATGCATCATTTTGGAGTTTTACCCATCTCATTTTCCTGAATGAAAAGGATGTTTGATGTTCAGGTCATGAAAAGTGACGACACACCTGAACATGAAGACGGTGTTAGGATCCCAGTTTTTATTTACATGCACATCCTGCACATCGAACCTGAATCTCTGTGCTTTGTAGTTCTATGTTTTACCTTTTGGTTTGATAAAAATAATTATCTGTTACTCCTGAAGTTTTCTAGAGATTCAATTTTGCTCATTAGTTTTTGACCAGTCATGCTACCCAACATCTGTGACACTGGTATTCTTGACAAACTTGTGTATTTTCTACACATTACTGTCTTTTCAACATAAGTGAAACAAACACCAAGTAGCGTTTTTTTTTTTTTTTTGGGATTGAAAAGCAAACCCAACTGGTAATATTCTACCTGTCTCCACAGGACTGATGGTGGTGATGAAGCCGCTTTGGGTACTGACCAGTAGCATTCCAGGAGCTGGTGGCCCAGCGGTCATAATGGCTGTCAGTGTTGCCATCGTAGTTGCTGGCAGACTAGGCACCACTGTTGGCTCTGGAGGTTTCGGAAAGACGGTAGGGGTGACTAGAACAAATGGCGGTGTTGAGTTAGACTTCGTTGGACATGGACCTTTCACTTTGTAAGGGAATGGGCCGTTGAGCCTATGATAGGGATGGACAACTGGTGGAGATAGACCTTTGTATATGTGATGCGTGTGTGGCGCCACTGGCCCATTGAACCTGTGGTGATAGGGCGGCACGGGGACTGCGGGCCTGTGGTAAGTCACTGGTGGAGATAGAGGTCGATACAGTACAGGTGGGTGCATCCTTGGTGGCTGGTAGTGGTAGTGATACCCTCCTCTATATGTGTAATCACTTCTGTGATCTACAGACCCACCAGAAAGGAGAAGTGATAGAAAACATTAGTAGGTTCATAGAAAGTAAACATGAAATTTGTGTAAGTTGTCATTGCAGAAAATGCTAGTAAAACATTAGAAATAAGTTTATTTTCTCTACAGCGCAGACAAAGGATTAGTGGAAGTCTTGCAGAGCTGAAATGAAGCTTGTGAACCCCCGCCTCTCTCGTAAGTTTAGAGTCTGTCATGCATTGTTTGTTTGAAAAACTGTCGTAAAGGGACAAAACCAATGGTTCCCAACCCTGGTCCCTGAGGAACACCACCCTGTAGTGGTTTCCCTGCTTCAATACACCTGATTCAATGATTTAATTACTTAAGTTTTGCCGAAGCCTGTTGATCACTAAATCATTCAACTCAGGTGCGTCAAAGCAGGAAGACGGCTAAAACATGTAGAACGGTGTTCCTCAAGGACCAGTGTTGGGAACCACTCGCGTAGACATTTACTTGCCTGCATTTAGGAGGGAAATGGTGTACCTGTCATACTGTCAATAGTCATACTTTATTATTTTTAATTAAGCTACAAAACAGCAGAAACGCCAAATCATACTGAAACATTAAAATGGTATTAAGCACCTAAAACAGTTTAATTTACAGTTTAAATTACTTGTTGAGAACACTGTCACTAAACTTAATAGAAGCTTGTTCTCTCCTAAATTTATATTAAATATATTTGCATAACCTCCTGAAACAGTGCATCTTAATGTTGAGGAAACTGGTCTTAGACCAGTTGTTTATTCAGTGGGACTAAACTTCTTTTTTTTTTTTCTTTTTTTTTTTCCCAATTCAATTAAAACTATTTGCATTTTTAACTCCTAGTTTAAAACGATATGTTTGAGGGTTTAAGGGTTTACTAATCCTTAACAGCTGGGGTAAGTTAAAAATGCACACCAAGCAAATACTTGGGACTCAAGATGATAAAACTGGCCAACAGGAGCCACTTTTTCTTTTTGTAAAATTTTTTTAAACATGGCCATTGCCCTCCCTGGTTCCCCTTTGGTGGTGCCCCTGCCTAAAAAGCTGTCCAAAAGTAAAACATAGGTTGATTACTTTTCCTCATTTAGTTTTGAGTTTGTTCAGTCTTTGTGCTAAGCTGAAACTTTGTGGCAGAAAGTTTTTTATTTTTTTTTCAGCGATGGCCTTGAAATATAAGTTTTATTACAAGTATAAACTTTGTTATAGGCTTTATTATAGGATTAATTAACATCAATAATTTTTGTGCTTATTTACAAGTGCTAACTTAACATACTAGACTCTATAGCTACAAGAAAATAGTGGCAGAGGAAAGCCGTGCAGTGTTAGCAGCATTAAAATGAAAACTCAAAGTTTTGTCTGTCACAAGAAAAGCGGCATACAGCTTTGAGAACCAACAGAGGGTTTTGAGATACATACTTATTGGATTCAGGGTCCTGAAAGGTGGTCGTCCATTGTTTCTGGTCTGAGCATAACTTTGTGCCGTTATAACATGAGGATCTCCAGCTCTGAGGTGATATGTGGCCTGCGAAACATCACACAGCAGCAGCAAAGTGCAGAAGAGGAGGCTCCGGAGAAAAGGCTTCATCGTCGTCAGCAAGTTTCCCTCTGCTCTGATCTGTCTGGGGATCAGGAGGGTTCTGCTCGGCTCTGCGGGGGTCCGACCGCCTCTGCATATGAGGGGATCTCTGAGCCGCGTCAGACTGTGCGTCCAATCCAAAGGTGAGACCGGACCTGCAGGACGGGGTGAACTCCTGCATGTGGAGGGTTGATGATCAAAGCTGCTCGTGTCATTTAGTGTCTAAATTCTGCATGTTTATATGTAGAGCTTAAAGATTTGATTTGCATATTTCTTTGCATTGAGAAAAGTAATTCTGACTTTTACCTCCTTTTGTTATAAACTTTAATGACAAAATCAGAAAATCAAGTAGGAAAGAATGCAGGAACAGCACAAATGTACGCTAAAAGCACTTTATGAAATGCTTATGAGCCACAACTTTCAAGCAGTAATAAAACTACTGTTGTAAATTATGAGTGACATGAGAAATTTTAATTTATGCAAATTATGGTTTGATGTTTAAAAATCTTAACCTAACTTTCTGTTTGTCTAATTCTCCTGGAGTATTAGTGAAAAGGCTTTGAAGCAAATCTCTTCAGATTGTTCAAAAAACTACACAATTCAATATTTAAATTTATGTGAAGGACAAAAAACCCCTGATCAAAACGCTTCCCCTCAGCACGTGAAACAAACGATCAGACTTTTTTTTTTTTTTTAGACGTTTATTGAAGTTAATTGAATTTCCACTGGGATAAAACCATTTTACAAGTAAAGTAATGAAGTATGCGTTGATAAACATGCAACAACTAATGTTCACAAGACGAGTGGTTTTGCTCCAGAGGTGAGAGAAGAGACGGAGAGAACGAGCCGCCATCGTCGGTGCTCTCTCCTCTCGGTCCCAGCTGGAAAACTATTCTGCAGCTTTGCTCAAACATCATGGAAGCAAAGCGATGTCTGCTGGGGTGGTGAACCGGACTACAGCAAAGCTAAATAAATAAAACAAAAAGGTGCTAAAGACTATTCAAGACTGGTGGAGCAGCCAAGGTCTCAACAAACACAGGAAAACCGTAACACAATTCAACAATAAGGACTCTAATAAGCAGATGGTCATGTTTTTTTAAAAATCTTTTTGACACTTCATATATTGATCCATTAACAGGATGCTGCTGGATTGATGAGAAATTTAGCATAATTTCCACTGATCCCTTTACTAAGAGTTAAAAAAGGTTGAGGGCGTAGAGTGGAAACAAAAGGATTTCTTTAATTTCACTGTTTTCATTCATTCGTCATTTTCACACAAACTTTAGCTTCCCACCTTTTTCCTTTCACATCGCCAGGATGCTCTTAAGAGAGAGAGAGAGAACGACAGTGGAGGGAACAAAACAAACATCTTTCGAGGCCGTTCAGACGGGGGTAAGGGCATAATGGTGTTCAGAATGGGCTGAGGGGGTATGTAGGAATGCATATGATGGCTGGGTGTGCATTTTGGCAACATGGCTGATGATTAGGCTGGCATGTAGGGGGGAGGGGGGTCCTTCTCTGGCATCTTCATTGCCATCTCATAGGTGGGAAGGATGTACTTAAAAAAAACACAAAAAAACCTGGTTAGATTCATTGGCTTCTTAATAAAACAAAGCACACATGCAGGTTCTTTACATTTTTATAAATAAACCTAAAATTTGACAAATACAATGCAAGATGGAAACGATCTACACAAGTCGAGCAACTCTGGCAGTTTAATATAAATATGAACTTAGTTGGAAAAAGGCTTAAAAAGCTAAACTAGAAATTAGCTGAAAAACTGAACTTCTGAAATTAGATTGTGTTTATCTTCAAGGTTAAAAAAAATTAAGACAGATTTTATTACCTTTATTTTAATGTTTGTTAATGGACTAATAACTGACAAGAAATTTAATTTGTGGAGTAAAGAAATGGAAGAGAATCTTGGCTTTCTTGCAAAACAACCATGATTATGCACACACACATTTGGCGCCGCCTGCTGACTGGAATGGAGAATTACACAAAGGAACCATAGAACTCAATTCAGTTTATAATTTGTGTGTATATATGTATATATATATATATATATATATATATATATATATATATATATATATATATATATATAGCTATGTGTTGTCATCTTTGTATGTTCCCATACATTGGCAAAATTAGTTATTTGCATTTAACCCATCGCACCTGGGATATACCCAGGTATTAACACCAAGTCACAACAGAAGTTGTCTCAGGGCACTCTATACAAAAACAATCACATACATAAAAAGTAACATTATTTATCTGAGGAGCCAGCAGACTACTTTGAGTCTCAACTTTGTCGCACTCATCCTGAGCAAGCATAAAGGCGACAGTGGAAAGGAAAAAAACTCCCTTCCCATGCGAAAGAAACCCTTAGCAGAACCAGGCTCAGGACAAGCGGCCATCTGCTTCGACCGGCTGGGTTTGAGAGGAGCAGGAAGGAGGAACAGATACATAATAGCATGTTGAGAATCACATGTTAAGATTGAAATAATTTTAAATGCAAAATATTAATGTTTATGCATTAGTATTAATTTGAAGAAATTAAGTCAATTTGTCCTCTAGTAGTCTAAGCCTATAGCAGCATAACAAGCCAACCTTAACTATAGGATTTATCCAAAAGGAAAGTCTTAAGCCCAGTCTTAAAACTGGACAATGTGTCAGCAGACATAAACTAGAAGTTGGTTCCACAAGAGAGGAGCCTGAGAACTGAAAGATCTTCCCCCCGTACCATTGAACAGCTTCATAATACACTGCACTTCATCACACTAGCAAACTGTGAAAGCAGATGGCCGCTTGTCCTGAGCCTGGTTCTGCAGGAGGCTTCTTCCTCATGAGGGAGTTTTTCCTTTCCACTGTTGTCTTGTGCCTGCTCAGGATGGGAAACTGTGACAAAATGAAGACTCGATGAAATCTGCAGGCTACCCTACCTTACATAAATAATGTTACTAATTGAATTTTTATGCATATGAATGTATTTGTTCAATTTCCTGAGATAACTTCTGCAAACTGAACTGAAAGTCGCCATCTTTAAGAACACAAACACCTGTTTCAAAACTTTAAAGACATTTGTTAAACCTTATCATTTCAAATAATTAGTACATTAAAATGCATATAAAAAAGTAAGAGTCAAAAGTAAAAGGTCTGACACTAAATTCCTCATTTAAACCCATAAGAGATAAATGATTATCTAAAAAAGTTCACGTTTAAGGGTTTAAATTGCCCCCTCTGTGGTGAGGTTTTAATTGTTAATATGTTGTGTAAAGTGTGCAGCCATTTCTTAAAGCACTGAAATGTTCAGAAACGAGTTTTATTATTAATATTATTAACCTTTATTTAACCAGGCAAATCCCATTGAGATCACAGATCTCCTTTGCCAGGGAGGCCTGGGCCTAAGGCAGCCTAACATGCATGTTATTGGTCTGTGGGAGGAAACCGGAGTACCCAGTGAAAATCCATGCAAGCACGAGAACAACATGCAAACTTCACACAGAAAGATCCCCAGGCCCAACCGGGGATTGAACCCAGTGATGTAAGTGATCTTGTCATTTAATGGACATTTCATAATGTTAAGAACAATAAAAGTAGAGCACTAAATGATACAATTCATGTTGTATTTACCTATAGAAGGAGTAAAAGTGAGAGACATGTAAGTGAAACTGATGAAATGTCCACACAGATAATTAGAAGTAGAATAAAGAAGATATGGTCTCCTGGAACCTCCTGTGCATATTTGCAGTCCGACCTACCTGGGGAGGAGTCTCAAAAGCAGGGTACACGGCGAGCTCTGGCATGTTCCTGTTGTTAATGTACTTGTAGCAGTTCCACACACAGTTGATCAAGTAAGCCTGAAGAACAGAGGATCACACTCGTACGTTTACAGTCGTCTCAGTTTCCCAAATGACATTTCTTGGATGACACCAAGGGACATCGCTTGAATCGAGATTGCATGTATGCATCGACTGTTAACAACCGATGCTTCACCTTAAGGATGATGAGGAAGGCGAAGAAGACCAGCACAAAAAGCAGCAGGCAGCTGGAGTTCAGAGAAAGGAGGTAATCCTTGTACGGGAAATCTGGCTGAGAAAACCAAAAGAGCAGCGTTGGATAGTTCAAGTTCTAACCTATCATTCAGCTCACATCAACATCAACGTTTCACCAAATAAACCAAGAAAAACACTCAAATGTAACCAACACTGGGGCAGAAGGACCCCATTTCTTTTTCTGATTGGAGAAAAATAAATGTACTATTTGCTATAACTCATGTCCTTTAATCCCACCAGTGTCCTCTTGTAGTAGAAAAAAAAAACATTTGGAGAGCATCTGGAAAATTCTCTTAACGGCATCAAGCCCTGACTATATAACTGAATCATTATTATTTTTAAATCCCTGTTTTTGTGCCAGTGTATAAAATAATTCCCAACTAACTGCACAGCTCATCACATGTAGTGTTGGTCTTCTATTTAGGAACAGCATCCTGCATGTTTTAGTTGTTTCCTGCTCCAACACACCACATTCAGTGATTTAATTACTGTACTTCCTCAAACATGCAGGATGGTGTTCTGCAAGGACCAGTGTTGGGAACCATTCAGATGTATTTTACTTTTTAAGAATTATCCAATTTACAAAAATCACAAAAACTGTTACTTCCTGATAATAAATTTCACAAAAAACACAAAAAACCCAACATTTTTTTCATATAGTTCATAATTAGTTTGACACTAAATATCCTATATACTTCATTTATTATCGTTACAGAGAGTACAAAGTCCCTGTAAAAGGTCATACAGAGCTGGTGCTACAAAGTAAACAAGAAGGCTGCATGTCAACAACAAATTTAGACTCTGGACTGTTGCGACTGACCAGCTGATCCAAGTAGTCCCTGATCCTGGGCAGGTAGGTGAGAGAACTGATGGCCACCAGGCAGCTCAGAGCGAAGTCAAACAGCTGGTAGCAGAAGAACGGGATGAGCCATCCGTCGCGATGCTGAGGTCGGGGACGGCAAACGGCGATAAAAATGACTCGGGTTGACATAAAGACAAAACTTGAATTCTGTAGAACCATTGTGCCTGTTCCAATCAGCTCTCTGAGCACTTTTCTTAGCATAACGTTTATACATGAGGGTCAAACGTGTCAACAAAAGCTAATGGGAGTGTTTTTAAACATTTTCCATAGAAAAAAAATCTGTTTTGTGATTAAGGGCTTTGAATATTTTCCAAGTCTTTGATACAGATTGGATTTAGAGGATATTAAAATAATCCTTACTACCTTGTGTTGGTATATTACAAGTGCATAGAGAGGGTTTGAAATGAGCAAAATGATTCGTCTTTGGGGTTTATTCTTCTATAAAAAACACAGGAAAGCACAGCTTTGACAAAAGTCTACTTCACTCCTAACATTTAGAAATGCTACAGCCATACTGAAACAGGCGCCCTACGCCGTGTCTGCTATCGCTTTCAAGAAGGATGTAACTGAAATAGTAAAAGTATGACTCTTGCATGTACTACCTGCACACTCGGTGTTCAGGAGGCAGATGCTTATCATACTTTAACTGCACTGTCATCCCAACTAGCAGCTTAATACAGGTCCACAAGAAAAAGCCATCAAACCTGTTGGTCTTGATGCCATGAGGCCGGTCTGGGAGGTAAACATAATAAATAGAACAGTAATTTGTGGTAAAGAGCCACAGAACCACGTTCCTTTCAACAAACTGCTAAATGTACGTTAGATTTTTTTTTAAAAAGCAAGGCGAGTGCTGTGAAATTCATAATTATGCCATTACTACATCTTTACCATGTCACTCTCATGCACCAATTTGAAAGTTCAAGTATATGTATATATTTTACTATATATTACAGCTTTTTAAAATGATATATGCTTTAAAACCATAATATATGTCAAAATACAGTATTTTTCAATGTCTGATTTGAATTTTTTTGCATCATCTATGATTAAAAATAACCATTAAATGCGTATCATTCACTACCAAAAGTCTACCGAATCATAAATGAATGAAATGAGCAAAGTCGTGTTTTGTTGAGTCGTTTTGTTTACATACAAACACTGGCGGGTGCACATCGAGCGGTCTTGGAGCGCAATAGATGAGTTGGAAAAATAATCTCCAGATGTAAACAAAGTCAGAGGAAGGACAGTGTCGAGTCCAAAGTGAAAAAGTTAAGTTCTTCTCTGGCGACTAAAATCGGTCCTGATGAGAGTCGACAGAAATAAGTCATTTTGGTGGAGGAAATTGAGCAGTGCAGAGTATTAAAGCAAAAACTGAGGCTAAGATGACAGAGAGAGCTTGACAGATGAAAGAACAGTTACAATAATTCTCTAACCAGAGAATTACCGTAACGGACCGCTAAATTTAGAAATATTTGCTGTTCTCTATCGCAAGTTTTACCCTGATAAGTTCAAGTCACATTTACCTCCAAACACTCATTTAATCCTGCAGAAATTGTGTTGGAAGCATACAAATTCAAAAGCAAAACATTGAAATGTTGCATATTTTGACAGCTATTGCGTTTTAAAAAACACACAACCGCATTTTATTTCAGGTACTTGACACACTTACAGTAATGGCTCCGTACACCATCATAGCACTGATGGTGAGCATCAGCAGAGAGATGGCAAATCCAACGCAGGCGTTTTCTGTTCAAGAGAAAGAAACAAATTCAGGCTGCTTATATTCAACACATGCGTATCTCCAGATGTTTAGTGAGGATGGATTTCTTTATGTCCGTCTGTGCTTGAGGAAGCAGCTGTGATCTTCTGACACTGATAAGTGGACGGTCTCCAGGGCCAAATCACTTTGTTTGAAAGGGCAGCTCTGGGGAGCATTAAGCTGCTCCCTTTCAGCTGGGTCAGGGAAGATATGAGGTTCGGCCCAGGATAATTAAACGCTCTTCCTTTCATATCCTTTTCTCCCTTATCAATCAGCCTCTCACTTCTTAACTGTTGTTCTGGGAAAACGACTGCAGTGATGCAGTCGACTCAAGGTTCTTTATAGTTCAGTAGCTTGAAGCGTCGTTGTTTGAAACTGAAATCTGAGACAAACTGCCAACGAGCCGTGTGTTTTAAAACTTAACTGGCAGATTTATTGTTACAGTTCCGAGATCTTTTAAAAGACATGTAATAAGAGAGTTTTGATGGACTGATCAAAGACCAGAACCCCGTTATTATTACTGTCAAAATCGTAACGGTGCTAAAAGACGTCCTACATCCAGATTAATTTTTCTAATGTTAACAGTTCTGAGCAGAGCTGCGATGAAACTATTTTCATTGACTGCCTTTTATTACTTCAGTAATTGTTAAATGAATCTGATTAGAAAATGATGAATCATTTGTTTTGTTATTTCTTCATTATTGTCATTTTAAATTATTTTAGGTAAAAACTGAATGTTCTGGTGTAAAACTGACATCATAACGGTGCAAATTGTTTCTTGGTACAACAAAGTTGTGGGAATTGGGAGGCCACAGACATGCATGCAAGAATGATTTTCAACAACGTGGCATCTTCAGTATTCAATATTCCGCTTTGAAAGATTATTTGACTCCCAGGGGAGTCTTTTGGACTTCTTGTTTATTATTATTATTATTAAAGATTAAATGTCATCACTCAGCCATAAAATCTTCTGTAAATGCATTACATAACTTCTACATTTTCCTTGGCCTTGGAAAAAAACAAGCAATGACTAATGAAAGTGTAATATAAGTTCTCAGTAATAAAGTAGTCTGACTGTTTTTGTTGGACAACCTCTGGAGCCCTGCGTGTCGACTTATTCCACTTAAAGGAAAGTCGGACCACAGCAGTTGTTTCTCCTTCTTTCCACTGAGTCACTGTTAAAAACACACACACACACACAGAAGAAGCCAACTAGAAAGAACCTTGAGCAGATCCTCATCCAGCACACGGAGGCCAAACATAAGTCTTTAAAGGAACAACTTGTTTGGAACAACATAAGCGCCACTAAACATCACAAAGACTTTATGACACTATGGTTTGGAAAGATGAGGCAGAAATATTTTTAATTATTTCAAAGATTTCACACTGCAGGCAGCACGGTGGCTCAGTAGGTAGAGCTGCCGCCGCTCAGCAAGGTTGCTTGATCGAACCCTGGCCGGGGGCCTTTCTGGGTGGAGTTTGCATGTTCACTCCGTGCATGAGTGGGGTTTTCTCCGGGTACTTCGGTTTCCTTCCACAGAACAAAAACTTGCATGTTAGGCCGATTAAACTCACTTACAAAAGGGGGCCAAAAGTAAAACCTTTTTTCAAACTAAGGACCGAGTTCAGAAACTACATTAACACAAATCAGATACCCAGCATATTGTCTTGGTCACAGGTTCCTCAACAAGAGTTTGATTGGTCTCATTTGATATTCTCTGTTGCGCTTTCGACATCATAATCAAAGATTACTGAAAAAATTCAAGCGATAGAAATATATGACGTTTTTCCACATCATCTTGGGGGCCAGATAAGATGTCAACGAGGGCCACATTTGGCCCCTGGGCCTTCAGTTTGACACGTGCTCCCTAGGTGTGAGCGAGCAAGTGAATGGTTGTTTGTCTCGTTTGTGTCCCTGTGATGGACTGGAGACCTGTCCAGGGTGCCCCCCTACTCTCGCCCAGTGACTGCTGGATATGGTCACCACCAGTGACCCCCGCAATCCGAAAAGGAAGAAGCGGGTAAAGATAACGGATTTCACATTGCTTCTTTTTTTTTTTTTTTATGTGTAAACATTTAATAAACTAAGACATTAGTGCTTATTGTTATTTTCTTACCAGACATCCTGTCGGAGGCAAAGTAATGGTCAATGACCTCATACTGCAGGTCAATAGTAGGTACATTCTCTGGGTGCGTCACAGCCACAGTCAGCAGGATGCCCATCAGCAGGTTGACCACCTGAGAGAAGCAGAGGATTTTTTTTTTTTACTAAACAAACTACCATCCAAATATCACCGGCTTTAACAGGTTTTAGGCATTTTTTTGTAGCGCATTTTAGAGTCAATTGAAAACTTTCCATGCAAGATTTTTTGTCTGCTTGGAGATACTGAAATAAATAAAGCAAGAAATTGATTTATTGACACCACCCAGGCGCAATCCTTATTAGTCATCCTGGTGATAAGTTCTGTAGAAAGTTGCCACCTCCAGTTTAATTCAGAATAAACAATCGGCGTGTATAAAACAAACCAGCACCAGCTTCGAGAATCTTAAAAGATCTGTATCTTACCTGTACGACTGTCGCGCACTCGGATGGATGGATATCTAAGCATGTGCTGCGTCCTTCCTTTATTTTAAACATCTGTCTTATGAGATTTTAAGTGTTGGGAGGGAAATGTAGGATTTTTTTTGTGATTGCTTCTCAAAGTGCCATCCAAATCAAACCCCTAATTTACGAATGTGACTATTAAATAAAGGTTTTGTCTCTTAAGTCCACTCTTTTAAAAAAGTAAGCCAGAGATATCAACAAACGCATATGAATGTCAAGTTCAAAAAGAGGACGATGATCAAGAATAAGGCAAAATATGTTAAAATGACCAAAAGCGCATTCAAATGTCTGAGCAAACTGGTCATTCTGAGACACATAAACTGTGTGGAGAATAAAATTAGATGCAAAATAACTCAGAATTGTGACACAAAACAACCAGAAATATGATCAAATAAAATGAATTAAGAGGGAAGTTTTTAAAAAAGTTCACAGGACGCGTGCAAAGATGGGTTTAGAAATAAGTCATGCAAAATGAACATTATGGGAGAGAGAATACATAAATGTGTTGACATGTTTTTAATAGACATTAGCTAGCTTTGTTTGTTTCCAAACATTTGTGAGAGAAACATTAATGATTAATGGCCTTATTGACAACAAAATCACAGATTAAGAACTATTGCACAAAAACAAACCTAGTCACTCGACTTAAGTTACAAACCCCTTCGTCATTATGAGAATAGAAATAAATGTTTTTTATTTTTTTATTTTAACGCTGCGGATTCGATCACCGGTCCGTTATACGTTGTTAGCCGAATATCCGCTAAGTTCAATGTCACGCATGAGGCTCTCTCCCCCCATCCCCACCCCCCAAATCTCTTTCGGGCCTTTGCAGGAAACCCGACACGCAATGCATTTGTTTGTGTGTCTGTTTTGTGAGGAATAAAATAGTTTTCGTGAGCTGCACGAAAAGAGACAACCGATAAGTTAGCGCGCTAACGCTAGCATTAGCATCCCGTTTAGCATCAGCTCGACGAGTTACAGCTACTGTAACAAACAAACGAAAAGCGTAGAGATAACAATTATGCACACGGAAGCTCTAAAAATCAAATTTAACAGAGAACGTTAACCCGATCTAGAGCTGAAGTGATTATGTAACTCCCTGATGCGGACTTATTAACAGCCACACAGCGCTCGCTGACGTTAGCGTTTAAATCGTTATCGAGAACCATCTTACGTACCATGTACCATGTTCCCAGGATAATAGTCCCGGTTCGAACATGGCAGCATCCACAACACCGGGTGGTGTACAGTCTGTCTCGACTCGGCTTGAAATGATGCATGTCCTCTACGAGTGTAGGGAGAAACATCTGGAGAGCTGGTCGAGAAGCAGAAAACCTTCTCAGCATCAAGAGCCAGCGGAGGAGGAACGCCCACTGACGGCCTGAGCACACCGCGGATGAAAACAAACGCTTTGTTAGACCGGAAAAGGCGGATACAAAATAATTGATTGACAGGAACTTAAGCCAATAGGAAAAAAACAAAGCAAGGGAATTTGAATGACAGGAATTTAAACCAATGGCAATGAGAGACAACAAACCATTTATCAATCAACCTTTATTTATACAGGTAAATCCCATTGAGCCTCGAGGACTTATTTACAAGAGAGACCTGATAAACAGAATTTAACACCTGATTTAACATAATTTTCTCAAAAAGAATCATTTAAACAATATATCAAACAAAAATAAAATTGGTTTCATTAATGGTAACAAAATAATAGATCCAAACTGATTCATGAACAGCAGATATAACCAAGTACAATTTGGAGGCCTTACGTCAGAGGCATGGTTAAAAACGATTTGCTTACTGTACACATAGGTAATTTCTTATAATTCTTTAATTTCTCATAGTGTTACATATAAAAGTTTAAAATGCCTAGTGTGATTGGGGAGATAAAAAAAAATAGATGGCTCATGTTTGTGCTGATGTTCAATGTTTTATGTTATGAGTGCTTAGTGTATATTTAGTTGATGTTTTTCTTAGTTCATATCTTAGATGTTATTACTGTTTTTCTTATACATTTTATTGTTGGATGTAACTGGGACCCTGTGTACATAATTTCGCTCCACCACATGTACCACATGAGGTGCGAATGACAATAAAGAAACTCTGACTCTGACTCAATTTTTCTGAAATCGTGACACCAGAATTTCATGAAGTGTTATTAGACATCTGAAGTTAGGAAACCTCTGAAGATGTTCACGTTCAACATTTTATCTTTTACGCATCAGAGTTTTAGGTATTTGGGGTTTTGGTTTGTTTTTCATGTGATACTGAGACAAGGTTTTAAACCTGTAGACTGGAGACTTATTGTGTTTACGTGATGTCATTTACAAACTTTATACAATTCTTTGCAGCACACACAAAAATGTGTACAAATTGTCAAGAGTTCAACTCAAACATAGTAAAAACTACACACAGTATGTACAAAAACATCCATTGATTAAAAGAGTCATTTTATTAAAGAACATGAGCACAAAACATTATGCAGACGTACAACTCCTAAATGTTTTCAACATCTTTGTTGGACATCTGCTCCAGTCGTTATGTTAATCCCCTTGACATACACCAATCATAAATAAAACACAAATAACAACAAAGTTATCATTTTAGACAAATTGTCACAAAACTGTTGTTTATCCATTCCTTCATCCACATCATCATAAATGTCTAAACAGTCATAGATTCCTAATATTGCACTAACTCTGTGATTCTCAAAAATATATAGGTTTAAGTGTTTGTAGATATTATAACAGCATGTTTTTCTTTAAACTATTTAAGGAAACTGGATAAATAAGACATAATGGAAGTGAGAGTTAAAGATGACGAGCAGAGCATTTTGTATATGACCTGATTAACACTTTATTATATAGCAAAATTGTGAATAATTAAAATCACAAGGTTTTCCTGAACAGACACATTTTTAAATATACGAGAAAACGTTAAAGCAGATGCATTACTTATCACTTTAATGACTCTTTAAAAGTTTTTGTAAATGACAAAAGCTAACATAACACAAACACCAGAGAGCTTATTGTAAAATATAAAAAATAAAGAAGGGGATTTGGATATCCCAAAAGGCCCTGAAAGGAGATCTGAGCAGCTGTTTTCTGCCTTTTAATTTTAAAAGCTGCAAAATATCAGCATGGAAGCAACATTCCTGAGTGATTAAATAAATATTACGTTGCACATAGTTTTTTAAAACACACACAGTGAAGTGCAGTACGATTATATTCTGTACAAGTCGAATCCCCATCAGTCAAGAAATACCATATTTTTCGGACGATAAGGCGCATTAAGCGAAACAAAACAGTCAGAAAAGTCAAACTTTATTCAACTCATTCACAATAACTCTCAACATTGTTTAGTTGTAACACATGAAATAGGTTCGAGGTCAGTAAGCACAACCAGAATGAATACATGAGGTCCACTGGATTATAAGGCTCGCTGTCAATTTTTGATAACATTAAAGGATTTTAAGTGTGCCTTATAGTCCGAAAAATACAGTAAATACAATTTAAAATCAAACTTTTCCAGTAATCATTGTTCTTAGACTATTTACTTTTTTTTTTTAATTTTACAACAGAGAGCAATTACAGATATTCGTAAACAAAAATACAGGCATCAGATTGGAGGTTGGTAAATGAGAAAACTTCACGTTTCATCATAAATATATAACTTATAAATCAATAAACAGCAGCAGATACGAACTGGGTTAAGTGCAAGATTTCCCTTCAGTCCTGCAGGGAAACATACAGCAGCTCCTCAAACAGTTGGTATTAAAGTGGCTTTAAACCAACCGGAGGATGACAGTTTAACAAAAACCTCAATAGCTGTCATCAGAAACCTTTGTCTTGCTGAGACTGCACTCCTCCATGTGTTTCTTCCTCCATTTGTAGATGAGTATGGCCGATAATGTAGCTCCAAGCGCAGCTCCTGTTATTCCCCCGGCAACAGCGCCTGTAATCGACTGAGCTGTGAATTCACTAATTCGCAGTTTAAAGCTTTGCAGCCGCAGTAACATGCATACCTGCAAGAATTTGCCTGTTTTCCCAAAAACTCCTGTTGTTTGCGAAGGCGAAAAATTCAGGTGGAGGCCCACGTTTGTTTTCTGAGGACAGCTGAAGCACAAAGGAGGAACAGTTGTGTTATTTCCTGCAGCACATTTCACATTTTACACGAGACAAGGAGAGATATTAAAATAAGTCATACTTTCACCGTCTTTTTGTTTCCTTCTTCTGCGGGTTCCACAGTTAGCAGCTCGCCGCCGAGGCCGGCGTCACCTTTAATGTTTTTACATTCAACAGATGATGTGTGGAGTAAACAAAACTTATAAAGAGAATAACTAGAAGAAAACAATGATTATAAAACAAGAGCTGCTATGTGCTGAGGATATTTATCATCCACCGCTTGTCTTGCGTTTGCTTGTCTGCACTATTAGCAACACATAAATTCACTAAAGTAAGAAACATAAATAAATCTCTATAAGTAATCATCGGGCTGGCCTCTACAGCTCATCCACTGTTGGAATTAAGATGGCTGCCACAGCAAATTTACTTTAGCCTACACAAAAATAGTTGTACTTGTACTCGTTGAATTTTACAGATATTAAGCTAAAATTTGGCGCGGTAGTAGCCGAAAGTCATGCGCTAACAGATCGATCTCGCCCGTTGTGTGAGAATCTTGTTTAAAGGTTTGACCTAAAAACAGCTGCAGCTAATTTTCTCAATGTAAGAGAATCTCAGTCTAAAACTAAGGCATGAAAGGAGGCGGGCGATATGCATTCCTGTAACATAAAACTAGGAGTGAGTGGTGTTTAGCATTACCCATCTCTCCGTCGTGTCCTGAACCTGAACCTTCCAGGTCAGATCCAGATCCCTCCAAATCTTCTGGAAGGTCAAAAGGCTTTTTTCAAGAAGAAAAAAATATATATATAAATGATGGTGCTGCTTCCTGTTAGTCGTAAAAAAAATATGCAATAAGCAATAAAGATAACAGCTGTGCCCCTTTGAGAGCAATGAGGAAGTGAACTATAGCAAAGATACAAAGTTCCCACAACCTGAAAGAACAGAGAACGTCGACATCACCACATTTGTCGGGTCAGAATAGACATTTGAAATATTGACTCTTTAAATGTCGACTGAAATGACGTAAACATAAAAAGATGGATCAGTCCATATTAGTCCACAAAGAGAAGCATAAACTTTGAAGACAGATGTTGTCAATAAGACCAGGTAAATGTCTGAACACTGAACTTGAACACGCTATTCTTTATGTTTTTAATTCGACAAATGTACATTTCAGAGCTCACCGAGCTCCAGTTTCTTTCACTTTGCAAAGAAGAAGAAAAACAGAAACCACTTCCAGACACCTGAAAACATTTTCTCATCATGACATAAAACACGTCTGTCTGAACTTGGGGTGAACGTGAGCTTGGATTCAAATAAACAACAACAACAAAAAATCATTTGGTTTAAATCAATGTTTTTTTACAGTCTTTTAAGCAACACCATAAAAAGGGCTGAATATTTATATTTTTAATTACGCTTAAAAGCTTTAAAAAAGGGACGAAAAACAAAAGTATTTGTTAATATGTAGTGGAATATTTTGCTCAGCAGAACAGACATAAACAAAGGAGGTACGAATGAGAAATAACATATTTAAACGTAGACATAATCAAAGCCTATTAGATAAGATCATCAATGAAAAGCCTATTTGTGAAACAATAAACCCATTTTATACGTTTAATTCTAACTATAAAATTTATAGTAATATTATTTTAACATGTGTTACATTTTACTGAGGTAAAATAAAACGTATAAAGTGAGTTTCACATGGACGAATCAACGATGAGGCAAAAGCTGGTGAGCAAAGCAAACTTTTGGGAAGTTAAACCTGATTTACGTGAACAAGACGAACGCCTTGACTTTTCCTAACAGGAAGTGAGAAAAGGTGATGCGTGTTTTAAAAAATAAATAAATACATTTAAAGACTGAACGGTGACTTACCGACACGCTGACAGGCCGCATTAATCCCAGAACTAAAACTAGAGAGGCTGCCAAAGATAAACGCATGTTTATAAGTTAATTAATCCACTTTAGTTAGTTTTTATTCTTCTCTTTACTCTGAAACTACTTCGACAAGCTGGTAAGCCCCGCCCACTATTGACGTCATCAGGCGCGCCAAACGAAGGCGTGTCAGTAAAAAAAAAAACCACCTAATAATAATAAAAATACTGTAATAATACTTCTACTAATAAGTCTGTATGTACTATGTAACTACCTCTCAGTGGCTGATGAATTACAAAAGTAAAACCAGGAGGACTGATCTTTATTAACGAATTTATTAGAAATTAAATTTTAGCACCAGGGGAAAAAAAAAAATCTTACGCTTTTTTATTATTTTTAATTTTTATGCAGTCAATCTGCCTACTTATGCATTTTTGGATACTTTCATCTAGCATTTTATTTTATTTTTTCTAGCAATTTCATATTTTTTTTCCTTTAGTTATTAGTGTTTCGCTACTTTTAGTTACTGCATTTAGTTTGGTTTGATTTATTGTACTTTTGACTAGCTTTTTGTTAGTTTTCAATAATATTTGCATAATTTTGTTTGTGTTTTGCTACTCTGGGCTTTCAGATAGCCTTTTGCTACTTTTATTTCTTAGCTAGCATTTTGATTACTCTTTTAGCTACTTTTGTTAATATTTATAATTGTTTTTTTCTATTTTTTTGCTGGATTAGGCAAACAAAAATAGACAAATAAGGCGTTTTAAAAATGCCTCATCAACCAATGCCTTGTTTATAGAACTAGTTATTACTTTGTCTTAGTTGAGGCCAACCCCAAAAGGAAGCAGATAAAGATAATGGACGGATGGATTTTTTAATTTAATGAGGTTTTATATTTTCTCATGACTCCCCACTTGGCATTTCTTGACCCACAGAGGGGTTTTTGTGCAAAATCTTGAGTAAATATTCAATAATTTACCCAGGAAAAAGGCAGTTTTCTTAAAAACTGTGAGTGACCCTTTAACATATAAAATGTTAAACCCAATATTTTCTCCATTTCTTGCACAGATTATCGATTGACTTTAATTCTGCCTTCTGAAAATGATGCAGCTCGTTCCAAACCACATGTGCAAAAACAGGACAAGCAAACAAAATGTTAGAAGAACAGTTTAATCATACATAGTCACAATTCTGCTTCCAAAAATTGAATTTGTTTTCTTCATCTAACATCTGGAAATGTACATAAGGCCACCTGAAAATGTACATGACTTTGACAGTGTGACAAAACTCATATGTTCATATTTATATAATTGACAATATTTTACAACGCGTTTGCTTACAAGGTAGAAGCTGTTCCAAAATACAGCACTCTTCTGTACAAAAATATTTCTTGTCGTATCCTGTGACGTTCCCGTGGTAGTAGAGAAGACTAAATGCAGCCTCACTTTTAGATCAGACTCGTTTTGTTTGATTTTTTTGGTCTTTTGTAACTTGTCACACAGAAGACTATCAACAGTGGGTGTTACAGCTTCAGTACAAATAGAGGCTGGCCTTTATATAACAAATTAAAAACAAAAACCATGCCAGATCGCAAAGCCATAGAATTTTTTTCTTTAAAATAACACCTGATGAAATAAAACTGTATACATTATATTCAAGGGGGAAAGGAGTGATGAATATACACACATCTAAATGCACATTTTTTTTTTGCCTTTTTCTCCCCAAAAACAAAAGAAAGAAAGTGTAAAAGACGTCCCATTTACAGCATCAACGTTTACAAATGTACAACTGTACAGACAAAATAAAAGCATCACTACAAATTTAGAGCAAGGCCTGTCAAACACCACGACTACACATATTTTCAGTTCAACTAATTTTACACTTATTAACTGCACATATACTACATGTCATCTACAATTCATATGAAGCAAAGAAGCCATCACTATGAGCATTACAGGAGAATTGTATAGCTTTCAATGGCCCCCACCGGCCTCCAATATATACTGCACTTGCATACCCAACCAATTAATAATAATAATAATATGAATAAAAATCTCTATATATTAACAGAAAAACCAGAACCATTATAATAGGTTCTTTAAACTTCCCTTTCTTTAACTTTAAATCATTAACTACTTCTAGTTCATTTCACCTCAGACAAACAAAGCTGATAAACTTCACAAATCTTTTTTTCCCCACTCCCTCTTTTGAACAGCTTTATACTTTAGGCGGTGGGCATCAAATTATTTATGCAAACACCCCCAACCCAAAAAAGCAACTATTTTTTTTTTTTTTACTCGTACATAAAAGATGCTATACGACGCTAAACTACATCTACGCAGGACGTGATTATTCAGTACATAAAGATACCGTTTTCTAGGGCAGTGTTCATCTACAAGACAGATGCTACACAAAACATGATAAAGCAAAAAATAAAGTCAACAATTAAAATCTGTCACAGCATGCTAATGCATACCCACCCCCCCACCCCGCTCCCACCTGCAAAAAACTCCCAAATATGGTCTTTTACGTTAAGATTAAACCACATCAGCTGTACAACCAAACCTCATGCTCTGCCTCTTAAAATAATCGTAGCTTCTCTTGTATGAACCCAGAACGATCACCTGGATCAAGAAAAGGGAGGAAAAAAAAAAAAAACCTGCTCAAAATCGGGCTCAATGAACGCAGCAGCTCGGGTTTGTCGGCTTGTGGCAGATTTAGTACCGAAACAACTGCTGGAGTAAACACGTCCCCAACCATGTCTGGAAAAGAGGCAAGAAAAAGCCACAACCAGAACACGAAAACACCGATCTCCCAACGTCAAACTATTAAAATAAAAAAAGTCTTTAAGACCTCTGAGCAACTGTAGCACACAACTGCTCTCACGTGTAGAGCGAAGGGTTCGTTTACCCCACCTTAATCTGTACTGTTCGAAAACTAATCCATTAGCTGCTTTGGCATGGGAAAACACTTTAACTGTGCGCCGGATAATATACAAATATAAAATTCAATTACCATGACTTATTAGGACAGCTGACATAATAAATCTGGTTAGAAAAAAAAACAAACAAATAGAATTCTGTTTTAAAAGGATCACCCAGTTTGGATTTATAAAGTCACTTGCTGGTGTTAATTGAAAGAACTGTAAATTTCAGCAAATGTGTAATTGTTTTTTTTCTACACACAATTTACAAGGTAAAAAAAAATGTACAAGATAATATGAAAGCCAGTCAAATACATCAAGTACATCATTAACAGTGGGCTTGTGCTTTACCCAGGAAAGAACAGAAAAAACAACAGCCTGCTGACTGCAGCCCCTGAGGCCCATGCTGGGGACCCGCACCGGGGTGGCAGAGCGGCAGGGGTCAGATGTCACAGCATTCTTAGGTGAAAATAGTTCATCTTTTTTCTATTTTTTGGTAGCTCACCCCCACTCCTGAAATCAGGGGATGACCGAGTGTGTCGAAGGCGAAACCGTATGGCTAAAGGAGCGATCTCTCACAGAACAGGGGGTTTGGCGTTCCAACTCCTCCGCTTCTTCATGCGACCCAGAAATGTGGAGGCGACTACATGAGTCCGTTTGTGGGGCCACCGATGGGGCCCAGCTCCGAGCCGCTCTTCATGTAGTACTTTTCCAGCTTGGCCAGAATGTGTTTCCCGTATGTGTACTTGCGCAAAGTGGTGATGTGAGGCCGGATCTGAAAGAGACGTGCAAAAAGAAACGTGTCATCTCAAACGACAAGAGCTGAACTGATACATAACAAATAAACACCGGCTGAGACTCGTTTGCCGTTTACAACTGGACATTTATGTCAGTTTCTGAATCAACTTTATTGTCATTGCACAGTTAAACACGACAAAATACATTTCAGTGTAGCCGTCCAAAGAAAACAAGGGTGCACGGAGGCTGCAGCTTCGCTGTGAAGCACTGACTATCGTTGAGATAAGAAAAGAAAAACACGAGGAAAGAAGAAGGGATTAAAAAAAATGGTCTCTCACACCGTGTCCTTGACACACAGGACACAGGTAGACAAAAAACCAGAGCAGAGCTTCATGATTTACATATCCTCTAGGAGTAATTTGAGATAAGTTGGCCTATTCAAGGCCAAGCGGGGAAGCCAGATTCAGATAATTATTTAGGGGCAGGCCGACTCTACTGATTTCATGTCTGCCTTCATAGTTCTGCTGGTACGCTCAATGGTGAATCCAAACGTCCAGATTCGTGGTCATTCCACCAGTCCGTGCTTGTAGCCTTCTCCAAGGTCGATTCCTTCGTGCCAGCGAGTTCCAGGAGTCGCAAGTGGCCCGCGATTCTCAGAAATTGCATCCAGCTTTTGTTTTAGCTCACAAAGCATCTGAATCCAAGCGCTCGAAGCACGGTACAATCATCACATAAGGCAGGCAGCCTCATAACTGGCAAAACTGTTGCCGACGTCTTCCTAATTGTCAATATGCCAGTTACCCGTTTAAATCCAATTATGTACGTGTCTTCAACATACTCAACGGACAAGACGGACAGGCATATCATCTTCCATTCACCCCAGGAATCCATGATATATCCAGCTGCGTGTTTCCCTTCAGAGCATGAGGGTTCTCCTGCACCCTGTCTTCTCGTCGAGAACATTTTATCAACTGCGTTGAGAGACTTATTATTTATCTTTAGATGCGACATTTACTGAAGAGTTTGATGACAGCTTCTCACTGCAACAAGTTTATTTTTAACCAAGTCCAAACAGATGTAACCTTTTTGTTTCCTTCTGATACAGAATATTTAGGACGAATGTCTGCAGATATTTAGCCATTATCTTCCATTTTCCTACAGTCACAGGAAAAAAAACCTACAAAATACAAGTTACTGTAATAATTGGAATCTAGAAAAACCTTAACGGTTGGTGTGTTTCTGCTTACTATCGGTCTACAGCTGGTCACTTCAATACAAATAAAAGAAGCTAAAGGAGCAGAAAAGGAAATGGAGAGGTTTATGACCAATGCAGAATAAATGATGATGGTTGTATCTGTGAGGAGAGAACAGCTGCAGACGAAGTGCTTACAGTACACCGGCAACTAATTATAATTAAAACAAAACAAAAAAAAAAACAGAACAAGCTTTTAAAACAGAACCTGCAGTAATAACCAGTGAGCTGCTCCTCGGGGCTTCAGTAATTTTAAAAATTAAAAGGAATAAAAATAAAAAGGTCATCCACCTTGAAAGTTAAAAAATGTTAGGTTTATCTAAAACCAAACTACGTACATTCTTTTACACGATCGATGCGACTGAGCTATAACATTTGTTGATCAAAACTTACTTTATGTGACAGTGACTATTTAAAACCTATAAACATTTTTTTTTTCTGTACTTGTAACTTGTGAGGAGGCATCCTTGCTATTAGCTTTAAGGCTAACCCAATGTTAAACTATAGAGAACAAAAAACTTTAATGCGCTCTTTATATACGTCTTTCTAGGAGACCTTTTGTTCACTGCTAAACGAAGCTTCCTAAAAGGTCTATACCAGCAGGATGGAGTTAAAAATATCCCACATTCACCTTGTTAGCCTTTTTTAAATATACCATTTCAGGGCTTTAAACTCCGATGTGAAAGGAAATGACTGTGTGTAAGGACTAAACATTCAAGTACAAAAGAATGCAGTGTGGTAGCACTTGCTGATGTGGGCTTTCCAAGATCACATGCTCCCATGGCAACATGAGAATAAACAACAACAGTCGTGCTAATAAATTTGTTTCATACAAAAGGTTTTAATACAGTAAAAACAGCCACAAGTGGTTTGAATGCCTGCATAATTTTAAAGATAGTAAAGACCCAACAAGTCTGGCTTTATCTTAACTTTGAGCTAATTATAACATTTTAGGTTTGGATACAAAACTGGTATGAGCCCACCCAAGTTTCCCACAACACCTACACCAGTACAAGCAGTCGGTGTGTAAAAGTTTCCTTAAATAAAACAATTTACTCAGTTCAAAGTTTCCAGCATTCCAGTTTACAAATGAGCAGACATGTGTGAAGGGTTTACAGCTGACTCACCTTGTGCATGATGATTTTGCGCTGAGCAGGTTCTGCCATGTCTATCATTCTTTGGACAACGTAGTTGGCGTACTGGTCCTTCATCATGGTGTACAAGGCGCTGTGGGGGCCATCTTTCTGGCAGCACACTTCATCTATCAGGAGAGCTCTCTCTGCACGCGAGGAATGGATCACACACTTCTCCACTACATTACTGAGGGGAGAAACTTACTGTTACTCACAAATTCACAGCTGAGCGAATCGAGTCAAAGAGATGAGCCTAGAGAAACTGATCTTTTAAAAACTATATTTTAAAAAAAACTTCTGTGTTGTTTTTTTCCCCAGTTTGTGTTGTTCATCCCTTCTCCCACACACACAAACCTTCAACCCAGACATCTTATTAATGTTGGCAATAACCTTTTCTCAACAGACATCTCGACATGTCTGACAAATGATGATGACCAAGATCCTTTCAGAGCAGAAGAACACGCTGACATTAAACCAGTTACAGCCTCAATAAGTGGAATCCAGCCTTTAACATATGATTTTCTGTTTGTTGATCCAAATCGTTTTACAGAGCATCTTAACCATGAGTCTAAAGACATGGCCCCTTTTAATTTTTATTCAGCCTATTTCCGATTAATCTCCCACAACACTACGGGATGCGATATTTACATTGCACCAGGTGCACGAGCCATCAGGAACATGGGGGAGCGATAATGGATGAAGTTAACCACAAAAGTTTAGCGATGTGTTACAGACAAATGACACAAACAGACAAAATTTGCATTATGTCAAACAGCATAATGTAAGATGACGCAAAATAACAGCTGCAGGATAAAGCAGCCACATTTGAGAGTCAAGAGTAAAGATGGATTTATAATCTAGGAAAAGTCAAGAAATCTCTCTGAAGTAGCATGGAGGTGTTCTTCTCCACAAAGACAATTTATAAGAAAAACCCGCTGCCATGTCCAGGAAACCACTGCTTTCTGCAGCGTGCCACTGTGGGATGTCGAAAGCAACACAGCGATCACAAGGTGAGGAAATTTGTGTTGTTACAACACTATGGCAAATCCTAGAGAACAAGCTTCTCAGTTAATGGAGAACATGTTATTTCAAGATGTCTAGTCCTGTTATCAGTTCAGGAGCACCTATGCGCTGCAGGCAAGCCTCTGCCCAGAAAGATTAGCGGTCACACCACAAATACTGGATCCCAGAAGCTGATGTTGGCTCCCAGTATGTCAGACTCACAGCGTGGCCGCGGCCACAATGGTTCCTCGGGCAGCTCACGGAACAGCGTGGCCGCAATGACAACTAGAGAAAAGATATATAGCTCTTTGAAAGGAACCGAATCGTGCTGATCCATTTGCTTCATAGAGCCGTTCGATTTTCATTGAGTAATGTCATCATGCATGGATGAACGTCATCACACCGTCAGGGCCGTACCATGCGTTGGGTCAGTTGCTGCACTCCTCCCCCTTTGCTCGTTCTACTTTGTCTCGGCGAAAAAGCAAAAGAGGAGTGTTTCTCTCTACAACTGAGGAGGAAAACATGAAGAAAAACTAGGAATGGCTCTTTATTGTCTACAACTTGGTTCTTATCATTTGTTGTAAAAGAGCCGTTCGAACGATCTGGATCGTTCGCAAACGTTGCATCTCTATTAACAACCCCCACTTCACATGTCTGGCCAATCACAGAATAGTTGAGAAAAATCCCTGAGAGAAAAAAAAGTTCTGCATAGATCAAGCTCTTGGAGGTAGAGTTGCATTCGGGCCCAAAAAAATCAGATCCGACCCAGCCCATAGCTATAATTTTTGTACCCCACCCATCAAATTAACAGTAATTACAGGACCGAACCCGAAAAAAAAAAAAAAATTAATTAAGCTTTGACTGCTTACAGAGTAATTAACGGTTGGCAGACGCGTGCGGCTAAAGGGGCAGAAGATCAGAGCTGAGGGGGTGTTTTTCCTTTCATGGCCGTCAAAGCATTAAATCACTGCTTCTGCCTGCATTCTGCATTATTCAGACACAGAACCTGCTCTGACATGTCTGATATTTTGTGATCTCACTTGTTTGGGGCGTCGGCCACGCGCGTCCGCTAAGTGCAGCGGCTGAATGAACGTCCACTTGGGCTGATGGCAGTAGTCCATCTGAAACTTAACTGAACTTTATTTTACCTCTTTCAAGGCCAGTCAGTGCACGGTCAAATGGCCGTGTGAATGTATGGCGAGCCATGTTGCCATATAATTGGATTGTCAGCCGCACGCGTCCGCTGACACAATCAAAAACCGACACCAACACCTGCACATTAGGCACATTATTATGGCCCAGCCCTAATCTGGGTCGGGCGGGGCAGGGCCGGGTTCTCACAATGTCAGAGCGAGAAGATTTCTTCACTTCTCACAAAATATAAATCCAGCTTAAAGGCTTTTATTTTAAATAAGACTAAATAAGGCTTATAAACTTTATACTTCCAACTGCATTCTTGTACTTGAATAATTTGTTTACAAACCCTGAAAACTGTTTGTTTAATGCATATTGTGAACTGCAGTGCGCATCTGCTGTTTTATGCATTATAGTGCAGTATTGCTTGAAGCGGTTTACAAGTTTCCACTTGACAGCCGCCAATTCACCACTGTTGCAAAATTAATGGCAAGCAGTAAAGAGACCGAGTGAGAGCCACATGGTGCTGTAATTTCCAAACAGAAGACAACAAAGGAAGTCGATTAGGTTTTCAGTTTTTCTTAATAACAGAATGAGTAAAGGCAGCTTCTAGTAGCTGTAAACTCACATTTTCCTTGACCCCTTTAATACTTTTGTTAATTATAACCAAGCGTTTAAGTATTAATATAAGATTATACTAAATGTTTTATAAACTACACAAAGAAACACCTCCAATAGTAAAAGTAATGAAGTAAAATAAAGTTACGACTGCTACAGTGCTGATACAATCAATATGCAGCGCACAGATGCTTTAAAGAGCTCTGGACTCAATAAGCCGTTCCTCTGATGACCAAAGCTGGCTCGAGTCGTGAAGATTTCCACAAAACTCTTCTGAAGAGGCTCGTTATTTCATTTAACACTGATCTCAACCGTTCAAATCCTCAAAAATACACAAGAACGTTAGCTCCGCTCCAGTTTTCCCTCTTCTTTGTCTTTGTGGATATTACATAATATACTGGTAATCATTTCTGCTGTGGTCAAATTTAATTTGGGAACACGTGTCATTATTTTATATCTCTGCTACTGCAGAAAATATGCATTGTAACAAATACGAATGACTTATGAGACGCTTTAAAATAATACGTTAAGATACGTTGTTTACACCTATGCAGATGGCTGTCAAAGCTATACAAGTCATAATAATTGGGCAAAAAGTCTAAATATCTTAGAATAAAAATTTTCAGGGAAAAAAATTAATAAAATGAATAAACAAACAAATAAAAAAGAATGCACATAAAAGGTACCCAAACGTAAAGACATCGAAAGAATACCAGGAAACCAGTGTGCAAATCAAATATATGGCTTCAATGGTTGCCTTCAAGAGTCGATTAAAGATCAGCATCTTCAAATGACAACAACTCACCTTGCAAACTTATGCTGGCTCAGGACAAGAACCTTTCCACGAACCTCTGCCACGATCTTGCTTTTGTCCTCCAGTCTGCCGTGCTCCAAAACATGCTGAATGACGTAGTTACCATACTGATCCTGCAGGAGGCAGCACAGATGTAAGTGGCAGTTTATTATGACTATATTTAAAACTGTTTTCAAGAAGAAATATTCCTTTTAATCTGACTGATAATCATGCAGTGATTTTCAGTTCGTCTCAACTGGTGAGATACTCATGCATTTCTAAAATAACAGGCCAATGAATGAGTGACACCCCCATTTGTAGTATTAAAAATACCCTAACGTCATCACTGCGGAAGGTCAGACAAAACAGATGCTGCTGGTCTGACAGCATCTTTGCCCCTTCAGGAGTAGGTGATAGACAGTTATGGGTGTGATTTTAATGAGACAAGATGGAGACAAAAACTCAACATGTCAAGTAACAAATAACGAGTCTTAATGATCAATTTAGTTAGAGTAGTAAATTATTTAGTAGACGCATCATTTCTGGTTCAATCTGTTTTCAAGAAACCTTCATTGTTCTGCTTTTTGGATTTCGTGTGGAAATTACAAGAGGTTTAGAGACTTGGCCGGTAAAGATTCAGATTCTCTAAATTAATTTGTGAAGTTGAGATGAGGGGAGAAAAACAGATTGATCAGAATATGCTGAAGGCAATAAGAAGGATGAAACAGCAGATAAGCATGTGAACCTTATGAACCGTGCTGAACAAAGCAAAAGAAGAGGGAGAAGGAAGATCAGTAGGTTAGAAGAGGTTTTAAAAGTAGAGAATTGAACAGCTAATGTTAGACTTTCAAAGAAGACATAAAAGAGGGAAACGGGAGAGGAGGAAGGGGACATCCGCGAGAGAGAGAGAGGCAAATTGCTCTGACCTTGAACAGTGCATCACCAGACACCGTATAATATGTTTTGGGTGTCATCTCCAATGATACGCCTTGAAATTTCTAGATGAAATAAGTGAGGGGGCAGGGTGGATGTTCAAATAATCACAAGTCAGATGTAATGACAGCTAACAGTACAATCATATTAATCTTTTACACTTAGCAAACCACGGCTACACAAGAACAAATGACAAGCAACAAAATGTGAAATGCTCAAACATGAAAGGGGGGCATGCAAATCCACAGAAACATCTTAAAATTGCACCAAGCAAACGATTGTTACATCTGTAGTTAAGAGTGGGTTTAACAAACGGGGACAGAGACAGATGAGCTCACCTGGCCCAGCTGTTCAGAATGCTGATGCAGCTCTTCCAGGATGGGCAGAGTTTGCTCCTGAGTGCAGTGCTCCAAAATCCTTTGGATAACTCTACAGCCATAAGGATGTGTGGAAAGCACAAATACCTGCAAGTAAGGTAGGTAAACGTAAGAACAAATCAGTAAAACAAAGCTATTTATGTTACACTCCTGTAAAGAGGAAAGATGAAAACACAGACAGTGCTACTTCTGTCACGTCCAGAGTTGTAATGGGCGAGCAGAAGCGACACATTCCACCTGTGTTAGTTCAGACGTAACTAATCGAGACACGATTGGTAAATAAACTCTCAAAACATAAACTTTGAAATGGTACGACTCTCTAAAGTCTATAAACAATTGTAGTCAGACAAGTAACGTTAAAGAAAATTCATTTGTTTCATGTTGATGTGTTCATGCGTGCTCATCTGCTCACACAGACTCACGCTCATGTTCGTGCTGCTGTTCGACATAATGTTTTTATGCTATTAGTGCTTGGTGTATTTTTAGTTGATGTTTTTCTTAGTTCATATCTTAGATGTTATCATTGTTTTTCTTTTACATTTTATTGTTGGATGTAACTGGGACCCTGTTCCACCACATGTACCACGTGTGGAGGAACGACAATAAAGAATCTCTGACTGATTTAAAACATTATTCTACTGCATCATTCTGTGACTTTTGAACTGCAAGACCAGAAAAATCGATCCTAGACAGCTAGATCAGCAATCACAGTGCATCTTATTCCCATGAATTTTACTTCAACTGAGGAATGAATTATGGTGCGTGGTTTTTTTTCCCATTTACATTTCCCACATATTACCATGAACCAAAGACAATTTTAGCCAAATAATACAAAACAATAATTTCTTAATGTTTTTTGCCCTTTTTAAAAAAAAACTGAAACAGTTTTATAACCACTATATTTACACTTTGTAAAACAACGTTTTATTCATCCCATACTCGCTTTTAATAAACAAAGTTGTTGTTTTTTTGTAAAATGTTGTCTATAAAAGTTATATTTCCTGATAGTCATAATGGTTTCATACACCATAAAATTTGTTCTTTGCTTTAAATTTATTCCTAACCCTAAAATAAATAAATAAATAAATAAATAAATAAATACAGAAAGAAATATAGAAAGAAAGAATTGATGAAAGTTTTTTGATATTTAGTATCTCAAGAATTATGTACAAGGAAGAACAAATATTTATGTTGTGGCAGGACAATCTTCTGTGTGCAAAATATTCTAAAAACTGGTGTACCATATCATCAAGATTTTTTTTCCTAGGCAAGAGTAACATAGAATCGTTCAACCCCAATATTTTGATAAGAAACTAAAACTTTTAAGAACATTACTGAAGTGAAGGGGATTATATGTTCGGAGCAGAAAAGGACTATTTTCTAAATGACTGAATCCAAAGGGTCCTTCAGCATCACCTTCTCTATAGACACAATTAAAAAACAAAAAAGGTTTAATCTTTGTCAATTAAAAAAAAAGATATGTACAAACACGTACTTTGAACAATAGTTCAAAGTACGTGTTTGTCACATATCGGCTGACTACTCTTAATGCACAGACAGTTAACTTGTGGTTTTAAAAAGTTTCAGGTCCTCCGTGTTTACTTGCAAATTGTGATGTAGAAAAAAGAGAAGACAAAATAGATGCCTCAATTTAAAGAAAACAAAGTGGTTGGGACACGCGTGGCATTTAAATAAACTAAGGGTTAAAATAAATACGATTGTTGCCTTGTAGATTGGCCTCACTGCTGTAAATCCTAAGAAATGAGACTATTGTACTTTCTCAAACTAAAACATTTTAAATCTGAGTCTGTTGTTTTAATAAAAAAATAAAAAAATAAAAAAAACACCTCACCTGTCCTTGGAAGGCATCAATAATGAACTGCAGGGCCTGAGGCTGGACACATTCAATGCACTTCTGCACCACGTGGTTCCCGTTCTGGTCCTTCACACATTTTAACACGTGGCCATCCAGCTCACGTACAATGTCACTCTGGGGTGAGGAAGGGAACGAAAATACCAAGGCACAATCAAAACTTAAGATTTACATTAACTTCTTTTTAATGTGTTGGTCATGTCAGAAGTTCAAAGCAAAACTTGTTGAAAAAGTTAAAAGTTCACTTACAATTACCTGCTGGTCTGATGAGATGGACTCCAAGGCTTTCTGAATGACCCGACAGCCGTACATCTGCAAAGCCAGAGGGAGGACATGCCCACGAATGCGTGTTGCCAGAGCAAGCTTCTGGTCTGCACTTCCAAACTGCGTGACGTAGCAAAAAAGACGCAGAACATAATTAAAATAAAAAATATATTAATGGATTTGTAGTAAATATTGTGTGATGCCAAAAGAAGATGAGTAGTTCAAACCTCAAAGAACTTTTGGATGACATAATTCCCAAACACATCCGTCATGAGTTGATACGCAGCTTGGAGAATCTCTCCAAACACCATCTGCCTCTCAGCAGGAGTGGCTCTCTCGAGCTTCTGCTGGATGAATCTAGAATTGCAAAAAAAAAAAAAACACGTTAATTTCAAAGAATACACAAAAAACTATTATATGAAAATAAGCGTATCGGAGTTCGTTTCACCTGGATCCATGCTGGTCTTGAGAAAACTCCACCATGTGTCCCGGCAGGTCACGGAGCTGCAGGTTCGGGAAGCGGTTGTTCCTGAAGTCTTCCAGAAGGCGGCTGCGCCCAGAAGGCATGACGTCAGAGCGGCTGTAACGAGGCCGAGAGGGAGGGAACAGCTGGCTGCTGGAATTGAACAGACTGGAGGTGCCGCCTGTGCTGCGGTATTTGGCCTCGGCTCCTGGAGCGGCAGAAATGTAACGCCCGCTGCCGTTTGTCAGGCCACCTGAGGTTACACAATAATAAGTATAACAGGGCAAATTTGTAAACTGGAAAATAGCTATTTGGGCTTTTAGAACTGTACGAGTACAAACACAACACTGATTAAATGAAAATTGTAGACAAAGAATAAAGACGTAGAGCCAAGACGCTCCATTAAAAACCGCCATTTAATTAGGTTTTATTGTCAAAGGTTCAACATTTAACTGAGTTTCTGAGGCAGAGAGCAAAGATGCTGCAGAAATTACCATTCAACTGTAAACGAGGTTCTTGTTACTGTAGAAAACGTACACATTGAAGCAAAATATCTGTTCAGAATTTTAGTTTCAAACTATTTGATTCAGTGGATTTCAACAAGCTCAATTATTTCAAGCATGTACTTTCCTGTAATGAAAACTAGTCACTGTAACGCGAACAAGACAAAAGACAAAAAAGTCTAGTGAGCAGTCAACCAAAAGCTAATGACATCTTAAAAAGATTAATAAAAATATTAACATAGAAATCTGGCTCGAGACAGCAAATGTCTGCTGATGATCAATATGAAACAGCGTGTTCACAGTAAACTTGTTAGTCAATAACAGCTGATAGCCCAGCTAGAAGGCCAATTTGATGCTGCCGTTTACATTTCCCTACATTTTTCAAAATAATAGAAGTTGGATGTAGTTATCAGTAGATGCTGGACAAAATAAATGGAATCTTATAAAAGGATTTTTATCCAATAGATCTCAGATCCAGCTGGTAAACAACCAGTAAAATAAATCTGTGACGGATACAAAGTGTCCACATCCTCGTTCTGCAACACTAAACTGCATTTCTCTGCTTCCCCAACCAGCCTTTCTTTAACTATCGGCTTTATCGCCCTATAAGTTGAGTTTTTTTGCATAATTTACATGCCCTGCAACTCATACGCCAAAGCAACGTATTTATGGATTTTTTCCATATTTATAAACCAATTTTTGGCTGAGATATGAACGTTTTCATTCATTCTGACTGAAAATATTGAACACTACCATTTTCAGCTGCTAGATAGCACTCCAGTAGTGTGGCATGCCATTGTATCATGTAATAGGTAAAGGTGGCTATTCATGACACAATCAGCTTGCCATACATTCTGCCACTGTCTTCCAACTTGATTGGAACAACCGTCAAATCAGCTTCATTTCACTGCACCGCCCCAGCAAAATGCAGCTAATTTGACCATTAAAGTGCATTTATTAAGTAAAAGTTCAACTGAGACACACCTTTGATATAATGTCGAGCAAACAAATAATTGTTTTAGGTGCTTATCTTGTTAAATTTATAAGAAATGTGCAGCATTCCTCCTTCCTGATTTCCTATGTGCTCCTGGAGCACCGAGGCAGCGAATGATTTGGAAATACAGCTGATTTGACCGTTAAAGTGCATTTATTAAGTAAAAGTTCAACTGAGACACACCTTTACTATAAAGTCGAGCAAACAAATAATTGTTTTTGGTGTTTATCTTGTTAAATTTCGAAGAAATGGGCAGCGAGTCACCCTCTGCACGTTCCTACTTCCGCAAATCGACTTTTGAAATGCAGTTGATTTGACTGTCAAAGTGCATTTATTAAGCAAAAGTTCAACTGAGATACAACTTTACTATAATTTCGAGCAAAAAAATAATTGTTAAATTTTTGTTAAAGTCCTCCCGTGCACACCCCAGCAGCCACCATTTGGCAGCCAATCAATTTTTGGCACAACACCGGCCCACATATCCATGTTGTCAGTGGTGACGCATAATAGATGTGACGTATACGGTAAAGCGACATATTTATGGATTTTTCCACTTTATTAGACATATTTGGACTGATGCGACATAGGGTGGAGCGACGGTGGAAAATAGTGTAATAACATGTTCAATCAATCCCTGGTATAATCGTGCACCGTGCAAAAACTAATGATTGAAAATCTATTTAAAAATGTACTTCAGTAACAGAAAGCAATATGGTTACATTCAAACTCGAGTAAAGAACTGTGGTTAAAGATGCAACTTAAAGGTTTTAATTAGATCATTAAGCTTACCTAGGTGAAGACTGGAGGAGGAGCCATGGGAGGAGGGCAGAGAAGGTGGAGGGGTGAGTGGGGAATGGCCTGGTGTTAGGCCAATGGGACTGGGTGAAGAGGAGTAACTGTTGTAAAATGGCTGGCCAATGGGGGTCAAGCTGCTGCCACCCCGTTTGTAGAGATCAGAATTCGCCAACAGAGAGTCCCTGCGAGATATGCTGCTACTGGTAGAGCTGGAAACTGCAAGACCAACAAGGAAATAGTTACAAACAGCAGAATTTCTGTCGAATCTAAAACAAAACATTCAATTTTATTGTTTGCGAAAAAAAAACAAGAGTTCCTGCAGAAATCAGCCAATTTTTAATGCTAAATTCCCACATTAAATGTGTGACAGACATCCCCCTTGTGCCATTTTCTAAACATAACTCAGTTTAGTGATCCTTTTTGTGGTCAACTGTGTAAATTAAATGCCAAGTTCCTGTGTTTCATCATCAATCTTCCCTCGTTGATAAATCTGTTTGTTGTTGTTTACTCCCTTCAGAAATGACCCTGTGGAGGTCAGAAGGCGACCTTGAAGTGCTTATTACACCCAATAGCTCAAGCTTTTTTCTTCTTTCTTTTTTTAAACAAAACACTGCAAAATCCTTTATCATGCTACTGATCTTCAGGTTGAAGCCATGCCCTAAACTCTTTACCTTCCAACCATTTTACCCGTTTAATCTCTGCTCCTGACGTTTTCCCTCCTAAGCGCAATCTTTCAACATCTGAGCCCAGTTAACAAAATGGTTCTGCGTGTTATGCTAATGTGCATTACAGAAATTTAGAGACAAAATCCTTGATGAACAATTTCACAAATATTTTGTTAAGAAAGATGTTTCTTTTAATGCCACTGAGTTTAAAATTTAACATTTTTGTCCCCAAAGGCCCTAAATTTTGCTAAATCCATTTAATGAATTGTTGTTTTTTAAGGCCTCGCAAAAACTATGGAAAGGACAAAAGATAGTGAAATACTAGAAGGGGACTGTTACCAAATGGAGATGGTAATGAAAAGAAACCAAATAAATATTAAGATGTCAATTTGGAAAAAAATAATGACTTGTAGTTTAGGCACTGACCTGATGAGCCGAAGCCTCCAAGAGCAGAACCCAAGCCCATGCCAAGAGAACCAGCCGTGCTACTGAAGCCCAGGGAGGAACTGGGTGGTGGAGGTGCAGCAGAGTTGTGTGAGAAAAGGGAGCTACTCTGAGAGGTGTTGGGGACTGATCCTGACCCGTAGAAAGAGCTCGAGGGCAAACCGCTGCTGGGTGGAGGAGGCTGCTGCTGCTGTTGCTGAGGCTGAGGTTGAGGCATGGAGCGGTACAGTGCATTGGCTGGAGGTCCAGACATGTTGTTACCAGAACCAGATGCAGACACTGCTGCTGAGAGATAAAGATTGGTATAAAGGATTATACCTTTATTTAATATTGATACCAAATCAATCAACATCACTTGCATTGGAACTGGATAAGTTCTTACCAGCTTGTGCAGCGGCGGGGTTGATGAGAAGAGGGGTCTGGACTAGACGAACAGGCCCACCTAGACTAGTTCGGGCACCAGGACCCATCACTAAGGCTCCTGTTTGGTCATAATAGGCAGCAGGGGCCAACACCTGATAACCTGAGAAAGTAAAACAAAAAGAAAACACTTGCAGCACAACTGTCTGCATGTAGGATGACTTATAACTACTAACACACTTGGTCTGTTTAACATCAAAGAGTGAATTTATTCATTAGTTGTTCAAGTTTTGGGCTCTATCGTGGTATGGTGACAGTGTGAAGTCTTATACTAACCAGACATTCCTGCATAAGCCAGTGCAGGGTTTGCAGCAGTTGCAGCAGCTAAAGATTCCTGCTGACTCTGTTGTCCTTGGCCCGGCGTCAGAGGTCTCTGGTTGGCTCCCGTGCGCATCACCTGGAAGGAAAAGAGATAATACTTTCACACAGACATAACTGATTTCTACAAGAAAGTGAACCCTTATCTAAGGACTTTGCTTTTTTATTATTAGTTCTTTAGCAAATACTGGCTAGGTAAAGTAAATGTGTTTACTTTGATACAGTATATAATACACACTAGTTTTGCTGATGGGTTTTACTTAGTGCACTTAGTGATAAATGTTTGTGTTTCAAGAAGGACCTAAGGCAGAAAACCAAATAATAAACCTTCTGAATCTTGGGATTACTCAAAAGTAAAACATAAAACTACTTTGAGGAAGAAAAAAAAATAAAATCAACAGAACAGGCAAATGTCTTACCTAAAAGCTGACAAAAATAAAAGTTTATTTACGGTCAAAGCCAAAAGACTGGGAACGAACAACAGATTCTCAAAGTTTAACAGAATCTTTGTGTGGTCTAAGAGAAATAGTTCTTTACTGCCAAACATATTAGGTGTAAAAAAAAAAATGTTTTTCATCCAACAGTCTAAAATGTCTGCACCAGTAATATGTTGTAAACAACGAGAACTAATAATTAGGGGTGTAACGGTACATGTGGGAGTATTGAACCATTTCGGTACGGCATGTTCGGTTCGATCCACCTGCGTACCGTTTCGGTTATTTTTTCAAATTTTATTAACGAGAGATTATGCGCCGCGAAACTAAAGTTCCTAAGCGTGGTTCAGCATGGCGCTATTATCTTGCAGCACGCGCAGCATTAGCATTCTAGCTTCTCGTTGCGGTCTCCTGTTGGGGAACATTATGGCTTTCTTGTTAAAAGACAAGTGAACAAATCCAAAGTCGTGTGTCGACGTTGTTTCACTGAGATTGGATCTGCAGCAGACAACACGTCTAACTTGTTAACGCACTTGGAACGACATCATCCGAACGTGAACGTCTCTTCTACAGAATAGCAGCTTGGTCGGTGCAAACACTGATAACAGCATTTAAACAACCTTTATCAGGTCATTCAGATCGGTCCAGAGCAATAACACAAGCTGTAGGAGTTTTTAAAGCTCTGGATCTACGATTCTGTTGTTGATGCGCCGGCTTTAAAGTTATTGAGCCCCGCTACGATATCACGTCAACACTTCAGCCAAAAAGTTGTAGCAGCACTTTACGAAAAAGTTAAAACTGATATAAAACTGATATTGTCAACAAGCCCTGGACCAGATTAAAGTCCTGTCCTGATGATGATAAACGCGCAATTCAGCCACCTCTTAACAGAAATGATGGCCGTTCAAGAAGAGGTATTGTTATTTTGTTATTATTATCTAATTAACTTTTTTTATTATTATAATCTTATTAACTCGTTTTTTTTATTTTATTTTATTTTTTTTTTACTTCTTTGTGTTTTATTTCCAGTCTGGGACAGAGATAGAGGTGGAGTTTTCTTCCTCTTCAGGGAAATCCACCAGAGATCCCCTCCAGCTAAGAAGTCTGTGATGAGTGAACTCTGAACTTTTCCAGGGACCTGTCCCACCTGTGGGAGCAGGTCCAAGAGGTTCTGAGTAATGAGGCCAAACACAGCCACACTGCAACATTAGCAAAGCTCTACCTCTCTATTCCTGCTACCTGTTGCTAGCGAGCGGTTTTCTCCACCTCTGGAGAAATTCACTGCAACTAGATCTGTGCTTTTGGCAGAAAATGTGGACAAGTTGGTCTTTTTGGCCAAAAACTTAAAACTTGATTAGTAAGATTGTAAACAGTCTGTTGCTGCTTATTGTTCCGCTTCTGAACGTTACTGTATTTATTCAGATTTTCATTATTGTTAGTATAGTTTATTCATTGTAAAGAGTGCCTTTTATTTAAAATATCATCCAAATGGGTCGCTTTTATTTTTATTTTTTACAAACGTATTGTTTACTTGGCATATTTTCTAAATAAACATTTTGCAAGTAAGGGTGCACCGATTGCAGTTTTCTGGCCGATCGCCGATTTCTAAAAAGTCTGATCTGCCGATTACGATTTTGGCCGATACCGATTTTGTTTAATTAGCGACGCTGTCAGGTGTTATAAGGTCACAATGCACCTTCAATTTTTCAATCTTATTTTATTGAAAAACATGCCCTTGAACAATATCCTAGTAGCAATACAAACTTGTTTTAACTGGCCATGAGGTAGTGCTCTGAAATATAAGTACAGACATTTGTTGTTAAAACTACAAAAAAAAAAAAAAAAAAATCTGTAAAATCGGTTTCTCGTGCAAGTATCGGCCGATTTCCCAAAATTACAGAAATCGGGGCTGATAAAATCGGCCGGCCGATTATGAACCGAACCGAGCCCTCCTTGAAACTGAACCGAAATGTGATTTTAGCGTACCGTTATACCCCTACTAATAATGAATGTATCATATCCCTAAGAAATTTGCAGGGTAGAAAATTGTCTCCTACCTGTGGTTGACCTGGTTGACCTTGATTGGATGCTTGCTGATTAGCCGAGTGATTGGCAGCTGATGCCTGCTGTTGGAAAAGATTGGCTGGATACACACCCCAAGGAACACCGTAGTATTGTGGCGGAACAACTGTGGGGCCTTGAAACAAATTGCATAAATCTTAGAAGAATACTTTTATTACAATGAGGAGGATGGCACAAGAACAACATGCATTAAAACCAATTCAATTTTAGGACAGTCTAAAATGAAAAAATAAAAA